ATGTTATAAGATGACATCGCCCATTTAGGAGTTGGATGATAACTACGTTATAGGATGACACAATCCAATTAGCAGGTGGATGTTATCGATGCTATATGGGAACAAAGTACATTGGATGAAAATCTCGCGTCCGATTACTATCCACAAAACAGATGACCCAACCCATCAACTAGGACTATCTGTTATGCATGGACCGAACTATTTAAAACAACCCAAATATCCATAAATAATACATGCGGTATTTAATAAAATTATTTTTGGTGTAAACATACATACATACATACATACATAAAAAGTTATCCAATTGGTTTTTGATTAAGCGAACGAGGGTATGAGATTCTTCAATTAGAGTTTAGGGTATACTATCGCATACTCTGCGAGTATAGTAGGCTGAACCAGATAATCTCTTCATGTTTTCACTATGATAGGTTGGGCACATTAAATTATTCATCATCAACTTCATATTGATTAATGACTACCCATTTATAGGTTTAATAATTAATAGTATATATGGTTGATAACGATGTAATTGCATGATTTTATACCCCTAATTCTTATCCATTTGCGGAGCATGGTTGTGTGTTTTGGCCTATTTTACGCCGGGTTATGCTACTTTGTCCTATTTCAGGTCCCAGGCGTCAAAAGGAAGGCCAAGCGCGAGTTTCGGATCGTTTGGAAGTCGTTTGGTCGAGCCAGGGCCAAAACACGGGCAGGAGGCCCTCAGAACACGGCCGTGTTCCTGGCCGTGTTTTTACCGCCGAGACTCCCCATGTGTGGCTTGAACCAGCTAAAAAACACGGGCAGGCCTGAGACAGAACACGGCCGTGTTTTGCACAGAACACGCCCGTGTTTTCCCAAGGCACGTGGCCGTGTTTTTATGCCAAATCCAAAACACGGGCGGGCTGGACCAGAACACGGCCGTGCCCTCGACCGTGTTCTGGCCAGTGATGCCCTTTTAGGCAGATTTCAGCCAAATTGAGAGGGGATTCGAGTTTTAGAGAGATAGAGCGATTCCTAGAGAGAGAAAGCGACGAACAAGAGTCTCCAAGTGCCCTAGCTTGATCTTCATCACCATTGGAGCTTGGCTTGAGCTTGGAAGAGTGCCGATCAACGTCCAGGAGCTGAAATCCATCCTTCACAGTATGGTTTCCGCATCTGATTCTGCTTTTGCTTCTTTCTCCATGGAGTAGTTCTCCCATTCATCTGGGTGTGGGAAACCCTAGATCTGTATGTTAGGATTGATTGTATGAACCCAAGTATTGTTTCTATGATTTGATTATATTCGATTGAGGTTTGAATGATTGAATGACATGAAATCCTGATCAAATTCCTGTTGTTTCTGCTTTAACCTAGAATGAGAATATCTGCCTAGGTTGATAGAGCATCCTTAATTGAAGGTAGCGAATTGGTGACTTTAGTCGAGGAGCCAATTCGCTATTCTGTACCGAATTCCATTCGGTAGTGGAGGTTTGGTTCGTTAGGGCCTCAATCTGTTTACTCCGGTGGAGGTTAGTCGCCCGCTAGAGACTCAGATTGAGAGGGTCTGAAGACCTTTAGTCGAGACTTCAGGCTGTTTGAGAACCTTCCGCAGTATAACTATCATAGAAATTGAACTTGGTAATTACAATCCGGCTTAACTGCAGTCTAGGGGGAACCATATCCGGGTGACCTCTATTAACCTGAAAACAACCGTTTAGTTGCTTTGCTTGCTCGTTAGTTTAGATCTTCACTAAAGTTTCATTGCTAGATAATACGAATTCACTGAGTAGTCATCACATCTAGGACCCGGGTTGACATTAAAACCCAAACCCGCTATACTACGCTTTAGGAAGTGGTTACACTTGGCCATTTTCTAGAGTGACAGTAGGAGTGAGTCAATGGTGAACAAACTAATTGGTATATAATGTATTTTCCTTGGTCGTTGAGGATTCATGTCTTCCGTATATCAAAGAGTCATCTCTTCATAATCCATATTACATACTATTTGTTTTGCATATATTCTTCAAACACGTTTTACTCAAATGTCACCGAAGTTGATATGTTGCCTACAATTGTTCACCATAGAATCGTTGTAACTAGGGTTGCAAATGAGCCAAGCCACTAACGAGCAACTCAGTGTTCGAATCGAAAAAAAACTCGTTCAACGCTCAGCTTGTTATTTAACAAGCTGGCTCGCGAGCCGACTCGTTAGCAAACGAGCTAAGTTTGAGTTAGACCATGCGCAGCTTGATAAGCTCGCGAGTTAGCTTGACTCAGTAGCTTGTTGAGCTAAGCTCGCGAGTTAGCTTATTTAGAGCTTGTGGAAAAATTAATTACTCTTATGAATATGAACATTATCTTGTTAATACAGATGCGTATGGAAGTTAGCTGTTATTTATAGTTTCTAGTGTTCTTTTTATGATTTAAACTCTTATGTGTACACATTTTTCAGCAATAATGATTTCAAATCGAGCTCATTTTGAGCTGAGCTCGTACTCAGTTTGTCAAGCTGTGTTGATGAGCATTTACTGAACTCTACCGAGTCGAGCTCGTCCTCAAACTGAATTATCAAAATTCGTGTTGAAGCCAAGATCGAGCTGAGAAATTTTATAAACGAACATCAATCTAAACAAAAAAATTTTAAAAAAATCTGAACAAAAATTCGACTCGTTTGCAGCACTATACGTGTCCAAACGAGAGTCATCCAATCGTTCACCATTTATGGAAGTATCCCTTTGTCCAAATTTGACCTCTTGAATTGGAGACAACCCTAAATATGGGTGAAATCACGGGCTTATTGGTCAGATGTACAAGAGAAACAAATGGTGGGTTAGCCCAGCCCAAGCATTGATTAGGATCACGTTCAAAATCTTAGGCACAATTGGTTACAGTATTAGGCCCAGGTCTATTTCAATGATTTCAACTGCGGGCTACCAAGAGCCCAAAACAACAGCATTTTGGAAAACATAAGGCAGGAAAAAATAAAAGAACAAACGCGCCAGGAAGGGGTCGAACCTTCGACCTTCTGCTTAGGAAACAGACGCTCTATCCACTGAGCTACAGGCGCTTGGTTAGCATATTTTCTAGTTATATTAATTTTGTCATTTCTAAAATCAAATTGATCAAAGGATGTTATGAGCAATTAATTTTTTTTGTGTGGAAACAAATGGAAAATGAATGTAATTCATGGGCGTTTACTTATGATTAATTTGTTCCATATGCCTATATGAATATTTATTTCAAATATTCTTTCGAGATCTTGCAAATTATATATGATGGTTCTGGAATATGTTTAGAATATACACCTATAGTAGTGATGGCAATTTCAACCAACCTCGCGGGTATTACCCGACCTGACCCGCGATGGGGCGGGCATGGGTATCTACTTCCGAACCGCCCCGTTCTAGACTCATTTTATCTCAATTTCTTACAATATCTATACATATTTCTCCTATTTTGACTTTTCTTCAACTAGTTAGAGTCGATCTTTCAACTTGTTAGGCTCAATTATCCATTCTATTATCAATATCTTTCATTCTTAAAGTGTTTTTCCCTACGTTTTATTGTAAAAAGTAAAATTTACTTGTATTTTTTTTAACAACATGTAAGAGTGGGTCGACCCGCCCCGCCCCGTACCCACGCGGGTTTTACCCGCCCCGACCCGTAGTAGCGTGGGGCGGGGCATGGGAATTGAGGTACCCGCCTCGCCCCGCCCCATTGTCATCACTAACCTATAGTATGCCTATCAATCCGAAAGATTGGTGAGGGCAATGCATAAGTTCCTAGAGAGATGTATCAGGTGAGGCAATAAGCATTTACTTGAATAATTATGGGTAGTTAGATGAGGGAATTATGCTCGTGCCTTTTTTTAAATAAAGTCGGTACGACTCATGGTTTTAAAAGTATTCATATTAGGAGAAGTCCACAAATATTGATAGAGAAAAATATTTGCAACTAGATGCTGAATATGTGAGGAGATTCTCTAACACATATTGAGAGACATGAGTTTATAGGCCACTTACATGAACTTTGGTTGAGATGCACTTTACACCTAATTAGACTTAATGGCTATGACCATCAACCATTTATATGAATCTCCAATATAAACTTGAATACCAAGCGCCCCCTCTTAACTGCCGCATGGGAGGCTACACAATTTCGATCTACCTATCGCCAATTTGATCGACCGAATTAGTGAAAATACACGTTCTTCAAGTTTGACACTAACATCTTGGTCATGACAATCCTGTGTTCGAGTGATACACGACGAACACCAAATCAACCACAATCATTCTAACAAGGTTGTCTCCAATAATTTGTTGGATGAAAATCGGATCTCTTCAAGAGAAATAGTCGTAATGTCAATGCATGAAATCAACTTTGGTTTTCGAATACCGGGAACCATAATCCGGTTACATAATTAGTTTATGCTCTACATAGTACTTCTGACCTAAGAACCAGCTCTGGTAATTGCTTATCCCTCTGTTACTTTGGAGATGTATGATTCATAGCTTCAACAAATCGAAAATTTGATGTTCTTTTGAGGGTTCTCATCAACCAAATGGCATCTTCTGCTGAAAATCACCCTAGCTATTCTAAGAAGTAATCGTCGACACTCAGAAGGTAGAATAGTATAATACTGAAGAGTGTAGGTCTGCAACAAATGGAAAATGGCATCTGATGACCTAGAGTTGCTTCAATTCCTTAGCTAACATCAACTGAGAATGCAAAACCAAGCTTCATAGGGGTTCAAATCCTTCTACCAATACCAAGAAAACACATGAACTTCGTTACTCGACAAGATATGCTACTCACTTCTTCAATAGGTTCACCAGTAGCACAGCAAAATAAAGGACGCGAAAGCAAGATGCCAATCTCCTAACCTTGAACGCTATGAAAGTTTCAGCGGTCAAGAACACAGAAACAAGGTTTCAGAATCCTACTGAAATAGTTATCTAAACATGAGCGAATGAGAAACCTGGCTGCCATTACTCTCACCAGCAGAATTGTTGTTGGTTCACTCATTTCATCTTGGCCTCTGTGAAAAGAACATGGCGGTTCACCCTTGGATCGTACTTGCGGAACTCCAGCTTCTCCATGACTTTCTTGGAGCTTTTCTTCTTGACATAGAAGAACCCTGTCCCGGCTGCAGAGATTAGCCTGATGAACATGAACGTCTTCTTCTTCTTGTCACCCATTGCCTTACACCACATCATACATAAACAGAACCCAATTAATCAGTGAAGGACCCAATTTAAGAAAAACCAATAGCTCCCAACCAAACTCAGAGATCATCAGTTAACTAGCAGGAACCCAGAATCGCAAAGGACGAAAACCAAACAATCCCACTGCAGGTAGAAATCGAGCAATTCACCGCTCAATGCAGACCAGTTCAGATCAAGCACCAAGACTTGACCTTTCCTTCCGAAAATAGAACAAGCTTGACAGGCTAAATAACAGTACAGGACAGGACAAAGAAACCGGGAAACCTCTCATCAACATGTAACTTTCAGCGGGTTTCCGCTTGGTGAATCCCCATTTCATTTCAGGTCAAGTACAGCTTTAGCAAGTAGGATTCACCAATCATAACTTCCAATCCATTGATGCATATCTATCAATTCTATATATCTTTCATGTAATAGGTTGCTCGACGAATTACGAAATCCACAGCCTATAAATTAAAACGAGAAGAAAAAATGCCCTCCTGGTCCGTAGTGATGAAAAAGTTCCGTACCGACAGAGAGTGAGAGAGAGCCGGACGGCAGAGAAAGGACGGCGAACAGATAACGGCCGGAGCAAAGATTAGCCGGAGGGAAGGTGATCTCTGGCTGATCCCAAAACGACCGGCGGCGAGGGTCTAAGACGGGACGGGTGGGGTTCGGAGTGAGCGTATGCAAATCCAACGCTTGCACCTGGTCGAGATAAAAGTTTTTTTTTAATACATTATTTTGGTCCGAACTATAATCATATAATCAATTTTGGCCTGTAGTTTCAGAAATTAACATCCTTGTCTCAACTATGCAGCATATAGATTCAAGGGTTAATACCTTATTATGGCCTGAACTATGACCATGTAATCAATTTTGGCCAGTGGTTTGAGAAATTAACATCCTGGCCCGAACTATGCAGCATACAGACAGAATTGGCCTGGAGCGTGGTTTGACCGTTTGTTTGGACGGTCAACACCGTTGACCGTTAGTCAACTGTCCAGGTCACTGCCATGTCAGCACAAAAAATTATAATTTCAATTTTCTTTTAATTTTCTTTACAAAATGGAATAATAAAGAAAAAAATAAAACAATAACTTTTGACCACCCATCCCCACCTTATCCCCTCACCTTCTTTCTTTTTCGATCAAACCCAAAAAAATAATTTCTTCCATCTTCTTCCCCGATAACCCACTGCCTCCATATCCCAGATAACCCACCGTCCAGGTCGCTGTCCAGGTCACAGCTTCCACCTTAGTTAACTCTCTCTCTCTACAGCTCCTCCACATGGCTCGTCCATTCAGGCTGCTCGATTCCGTGCCGGCAGCAGCAATAACAGCACCGGCCGGGGACTCCCAACCGCCCGCCCCGCCGGTGGACAGCGACTTTGTCATCATACTGGCGGCCCTCCTCTGCGCCTGATCTGCGTCCTCGGCCTCGTCGCCCGCGGCGAGGGGAGGCAGGGCTCCGCCGGCGGCCATTGACCCCTGTTGCCGTCATTGTGGCACTGAAGTGGTGGTGCCGGAGGAATTGTGTGGATTAATAAAAACCAGAGAGTAAAGTGCAGGGAGAACCCTCGCTCGATCAAATGTATTTCCGAATTGATTTAGGGATGTGGTTGATAACTTGGGTCTTGATTGATCAAATGTGAAAGGGAAAGGCTTGAAGGGAAGATAACAGGGTTTTTATTTCTGTTTCCAGATTTGTACGCCAAGGAAATATATGGAATGGATTGGTTTCCAAGGGGGTGAAGAAGAAGATCCTTCGCGCCCTCCCCAATTAGACCTTCTCTCTCGCCGACGACGCCGCGGCAAAATTCACCGATTGCGCCATCTGCTTCGTGGAATTCACGGCCGGGGACGAGTTCCGGGTGCTCCCGCAGTGCGGCCACGGCTTCCAACTGCATCGACACCTGGCTCGGCAGCCATTCATCCTGCCCTTTCTGCCGGCAGATACTCGTCATCAACCGGTGTCATAAGTGCGGCGGCGGGTTATTGGGGAAGAAGATGGAAGATAGGGTTTTTTAGGGTTTGATCGAAAATGGGGGATAAGGTGGGGATGGGTGGTCAAAAGTTATTGTTTTATTTTTTTCTTTATTATTCCATTTTGTAAAGAAAATTAAAAGAAAAATGAAATTATAATTTTTTGTGCTGACATGGCAGTGACCTGGACAGTTGACTAACGGTCAACGGTGTTGACCGTCCAAACAAACGGTCAAACCACGCTCCAGGCCAATTTTGTCTGTATGCTGCATAGTTCGGGCCAGGATGTTAATTTCTCAAACCACTGGCCAAAGTTGATTACATGGTCATAGTTCAGGCCATAATAAGGTATTAACCCTAGATTCAATTGGCCCGACACATAGTTTGATCGTCAATTTAGACGGCCAACTCCGTTAACCGTTAGTCAACATGTCATGTCATTGCTTACTGCCTAGTCAGCATAAAAATCATTAAGAAAATTCAAATTATTTTCCTAATTTCTATTATTTATCATTCTCCAATTAACCAAAAAATAAAATTCTAAATATATAAAATAATTTTTTTTGGGATATTTGAAAATGATAAATTTTATAAGTTAACCAAAATTATAAATTTAACTTTTATAAATTTAAAAGTTATGATATAAATTATATTTTTTTGGGAAGTTTTAAAAATATAAAATAATTTGATATTTTTGGTTAATTTATAAAATTTATCATTTTCAAATCATCCAAAAAATAAAAAAAAATTATTTTATGGGTTTTATAATTTATTTTTGGTTAATTTGGTAATAAATCATTTTATTAATGATTTTTAGGTTGACTAGGCAATGACATGGCGTGTTGACTAACGGTCAACGGAGTTGACTGTCCAAATTGACGGTCAAACTATGTGTCGGGCCAATTGAGTCTATATGCTGTATAGTTGAGGCCAGGATGTTAATTTATGAAACCACGCACCAAAATTGATTATATGGACATAGTTCGGGCCAAAATAAGGTATTAACCCTTTTTTTTCTTCAGAAATACCACTATTTAATAAAAAATTACAAAATTACCACCCGACCCAGAAAATTTTCAAATATATCACCATTTTTGTTAGTTCTGTGCAAAAATTTGTAGATACAATTGAAAAGAGATCACATTTTGTAGAAGGCAACGAACTTGTTCCGTCTGTGCAAAAAAAATTGTTAATAATATTAGCAAAAAACTGACGTTGACGGAGATTAACGGAAGGTAACGGAGAGTGATTAAATTTGAACAGTTTAACTAATTTTAATGACAACGAATGGATTTAAAGTGACCAAATGTGAACATTTTTAGCAATCTTAATGATCAACCTTGTAATTTGCAGAACCATATTTCTTACATTTTAAAGTTGAGCCTAGTTTCAACAATGGAATAGCTGAGCGGGAGGGCGTTCTTTAGCTATTTAACGACCAACATTCTGAGACTTACTACAACATGTAGTCAGATTATTCCAATGATACAAACAGGCTTTTCAGCTAGAGAAGCCGTATCTCAGTAAATTATATACCCTTCCATGGTTATCCAACAAGCTTCTAAATATACTATCGTCCAGCCGAACGAAGATGACAAGAACCGCAATTTTTCCCCCCTGAAAGTACAGACCAGCATAAGTTCCAGATACGCCCGAGTCTATAGCCCCCCAGTCCCACGACTCCCACCATTCATCAGCAGAATCTGTCCAAAGGGCAACAATGGCACCCAGAATTTGCAGACGGGTCATCTCTCTCAGTTGCGCGAACCAACCGATTTTAGTACCGACACTAATCATTTCAAGGAACCGTATCATACGAGAATTATCAAGTTTCGTCTTCTTGATCGTCTGTCTCCTCAAGGATGACATACTTTGCAGGGATGGTTTCTGTAGATGTCCTACCCGAGGCATCTTCTCTGACTTCTCCTTTTTGCAGCCTTTCATATCTGAAAAGGTAAAGAGGAAGATGGCAAAAGCTTGAGGAACATTTCTTCAATCTGCTGCTTTTGAGAAAGTTCCAAATTACAAGTTCTGGTCTTAAATCAATATATATTGGAGACATGATTCGCTGATTCGACAAAGGAGAAGGAAGACTACTCACTTGTACCAGTTGAATAAAGCAACACCAACCATAATGACGATGAGACCAGCACCTTTCAACCAGGTGAACTCGTCATGGAAATAAAATACAGCCACCTGGATATATGCATAAGAAGAACAAACCAAGTTGAGGAAGCGTGCATTAGAATTTTAGTAACCATATATATCAGAACATTCTCTGGCAGAACTGGGATCACGTCGTCACAATGTACAATCACATAATAAAGAAGATGCAGTGAAGTCCCTTATATAAACATGATGCAGGTTGCTTAGACAATATTCCCAAGATCGTGAGACACCATAACCAAGTGGTTAAGATCAAAACTAAATATTTGGCCTATATCACGCGCAAGACCGAAAGAAAGTGATTGAAAGAACAGTAATCATGACAAAGAGAAGCTCATACCACAATGGTAACAGCCTCCTTGACCACACCAGCTATTGTCACAGTAACAGCACTTGTTACTGAAATAAGAATGTATTCAGTCAAAACCTGTAACAAGAATACGAAGTTAACTTACTGACAACATTTAGAAAAATAACAGAACAGGGGATCTTCCATTCAATCCTACCATGAAAAATGCTAGCGTTCCTCCAAACAGCATCAGCAGACAACTCCGAACAGTGTGCCAGGGACTATCAAAATAGCTAGTGTGTTTGAATTCATGCCATGGATCCAGCATGAGAGAAGAAAGAGCTGTTGCCAGTGTCATAACTGGAGTAACATAGCTCATCAAGGTAAGTGGATTTTTCAGACCTACAAAACAATCAGAGAGAAGGATCTTAATCTGTGAGAAATCACCAGAGGAAAAGACACCCAGACATAATGGGCAGAGTTTCTAGGTTTTCAAGAGAACCCACGAAGACAAGAGAAAAGTCGGACATACACACAGAGAGACAAGTGAACTGATATACCAATTATAATTTACAGAACCACTTAATAGAAATATTGCAATATGTTCATATGCAAAATTTGCGAAAGCTATAATACTCTTCACTGGCTCTAGCTCGAATAACTTAAGTGCTCCAATAAAAAGCCAACATTACCATATTGAATATCACATAATTTCAATCATATTTGATAAGGTAGATGTGCATGAACAGCATCAAACATCTCTCTCACAAGGTCAGAAGTATCATTGATTTATTTGTTTAATTTTTTTTTTTTTTATAAAAAGCCTGTAAAAGTATCACTCGTTTATGAACCTTTTTGTGTCTGGGTGTGTTTAGAAGCAGCAATTGAGGAAGGAAATTAAAACATGGATCAATGATATAATTCATTGAAATTATACTAGAATAAATTAACACTGGAATTAAGAGGGAAATAAATGTTTAAATAGTAGGAAGGCTCCATAAGATGTTTAAACTAAACATTTTGAATAAATGAGTCTAAAATCAGGTGTCATTATCAATTATCATAAAAGTGAATTGAGCGTTTTTCTAAAACTTCGGTGAATGAGCATTGCTGCATTAGTCTTTGGTAAGATGCAGTTATAATTAGCATAACTCATCCGTATAGCTCATGCGCCAAACCCCGTACATTGTCAAAAGAAACTTCACATGGAAACATTTTCTCTATCAAACGTTACAAGTTAACAACATTAGCACACATTTTAGGCAAAAGAGTGTAAATTAGACATTATCTAATCTCAACTGAAATTTACTCCATATAACGGACAAGTTATGATGGACAATGATGCAAGAGTAGAATTCCATTATTATCAGCTACCAGGCGTAACAATCTTTTAAGAACATTGACGGATCACACATCTTTTTATATATCTTCTTGTGAAATAGGGAAAGATGCTTGTCAATAAACTTAAAAAAGAAAACTAGAAACTGAAGTCCACAAATGATAAGAAAAGGCAAATAGCACCTACCGTAGGTTTCTTTCTTTATGCCAGTTTTGGATCATCATGGATAACCAAATTGCGAGATTCAACATCAAGATGAAGAGAACGGAAACAGGAAAAAAAACAGGAGACGAAACAAGGTTACCACATGTAAGTGTTGACATAAATATACACAATGCTATACATATGTACATATACATACGAACTAACCATGAAATATTAAAAATTCTTAGTTGCATTATATGGGAGACTAAGATCATACCTGCAGAAGAATTTGTGTCATGGACCAGCGAAACCCAGACATAACAGCAGCAAGCATTACGAATACAAATCCCCAAAACTCAAATTCAGTCTCTTTTGCCACTGCAGACAGAAAATGTGTCAGCTATAGGAAAACAAAAATAAACCATAAGGGTGAGTTGTGGAAAGCTCCAGGGAAGGGCAGAACTAAGATTCAGACTAGAGTGGGGAGACTACTCCTAGGTGCAACAAACTAAGATATGGAAAAAAATAGTCATAATCTGTTGAGCAGTACACTATACACAGAACTCCTGATCCTGAGCAAAACTATTGCTTAGGATAATTCTGCAAAAAAACTAGTACAAAATAAGCAACAATAAATAACAGTCTAGATACTATTATGAAAATATCTATTCAGCTTAAAACGCAAATCAAATTTTCTAGAGTGCTTCAAACTTCAAACGTTTAGAAACAATAGGAAGTGAACAGCTCATGTCTTTGTTTCTGTTTATCTTTAACTTTCATATCAAAATATATACATTGTTCGCCAGACTCAATTAGAAATGCACAATTAGGACAAACATAACGTTATTCTCTCCAATAAACCTACCGATAGTTTAGGTGATCATGATATGATGATTTTTCACCCCTAATTGTATAAGGACCATAAAACATAACGTTATTCTCTCCAAAATTTCTGATATTAGCTCCAAAATCACGTTACTTTCATAGACCCCTAACCTAACGACGCCATAACTTTTGCCCTTTCCTTCATTCAGACTATTATGACCCTAAGTTATACTCGGACAGGTTGTTTGCTTGATGGATTTGGATCCATCATGGACTTTTTCAAAACTCAAATGTTTGCTTCATGTATTTAGAGGCAACAAAACTGTGCGTCTCACGGACTTGAAAATCCCACCTATTTAGGTGGAAAGTCCATCATTTGTGACCAACATACCCCCCTTATTTCCTTACTCTTCTCATACTAACGAGCACATACTAATGAACACAATAAAAGTCAATTTCACTTCATACATACAAATCTAATTAACAAAATCCATTATGAAATCTGTGTAATAAACAATAGTGTTTTTCAAGTCCAGATTTAATAAAAAAAACCCTTCATTTTTCAAATTCACGAAGCAAACAGCCCATGAAATTAATCATAGACTGCAATAAGTGAGACGACGTACCTGTAAGCAAGATTCCAACAGATATAACCATGATGATACCTAGAAGTTTAATACTAGGTGACTCCAACCTGCATCCGAGGAAGAAAGGAGTATTACAACAACAGAGACGTACAACATTGAGAAAACTTCTCCCCTAGATTATCACCAAAAGACAAGTCAACATTGCCAGCTTGTCACCAAAAGACAATTGCAGGATGGAAACACAAAGTTGGGCCTTGGGCTCAACTATACAATGATGTTCCCTTCTATTGTGCAAGGAACTAGTGACATTGATGTTTGGCATGAAGAAAAAACGCTACAGCAGATCCCACACTAGATAGAACAAACACGAGAAAGTGTGTCAACTTGGTCTATCTGTACTTTACTCTTCGCTTTTCTTCTTCATATATATATATATATATATATATTTTTGCCACAGAGAGTCAGCTGATCTACACACACCCGCCACTGCTCCCTTCAGTGCAAATTTACCAGCCAGTTCAATATTGTGATTGTAGTAGTGTTCACGAATAAAATTCGAGGAAACCCGAAATGTGATTTTTTATAGATAAAAAGCACAGTAAGAAATAAAATATAAGGAGAATTGCAGCACATTATGGAACACATGAGAATGATCAAATGAAGCACTTTACCTGAATAAAAAAGCAAATAAAATGAGGAATATAGGTGCTGCAGATTTACACTGCAAACACATGAAACATTTGAAGTCAATGAAAGAGTGACGTAGAATGACAATCTAACTTCTTGGATTCAGATTGATGAAACAATCTATATCTAGGGGACATACGGAGAAGACTAACCATTGTAGCAAAGGTAACAGAAATGAAAACAAGTGATGCATTGCTCAGGTTGACATCCATTGCAGTTCCCAGAGCGGTTGGTACAACTGTGAGAAAAATTACTTCTAACATTAGCTTACTAGTAGTTCTAAAATCTCCTATGAGAATAAAATATTAGTTCAAAGGAGTCAGGTCTCAACTTCTGTTCTTCCACGTTCAAATGCAGAACCTAATGGTATATATTAATGACTACAAATAGTTTTCCAATGTTTCAGTGGTGATTGTGTAATGCAGACAATGATGTGGGTACATGGGGTCATACAGTTTAGAAGCTGCAAAACAAAACTTATTCACCCCCCCCCCCCCCCTCCAAAAAAAAATCTCCCTCCTGCTCTGTAGGCGAACACACATCCGTGCATGATATTGGGTCAGAAGATGGTAAGATAGTTTAGATCTACCTTGAGAGAGGAGAAGAAATTTTAAATAAACTAATGAGCTACCTCTAACAAAATAATCCCTCCATGACATAGCAACAGCCGTGTCAAATCTGTGCGACCAGTACCATGTGATGAACGTCGACAGAGCAGCTTGCAATCCAAAGTGGAAGGCATTCATCAATAGAGGAGCTGGAAATCTTCCCAAATGATCTCCTAAAAGAGTTTTATTATACCTACGTGAGTTCATCACAGAAGACATGTGAACGATTAGTCTTGGCACGAATAAAGAGAAAAGCATAAGAACATAATTGACATGATATAAGCACAAACTTACAGAGTCAAAAATGTACTAAACGTGTACCACACAAGGATGAAAAACAGGGTCTTCAAGACATCTGGAGCTGAAATAGCACTCTTCGATTTTGTGGACGCTAACCCATGACTACTAAGAGAATCCAACCCATCGTCTCCAGGATCTGATAAGTGTTCCTTGAGAGATACTCCAATTTCAATTTCCAAGGGTACATACTTCTCCTTGTCATTCCCCAGGCCAGGTGCATTACTCTCGTCATTGTGCACCATAGTACCATTCACTGACATACTTCCTTCCAAAATTAAGCACTAAAAGAAGATGGGTAATACGGTACAACAACTCCACGTCCTATAAGCAATTCCAGAAATTTGCTTCGATCTTCAAGAACTGCACTCCAGTCTCCTAAACGACCTCCAAATTGCCTTGTCAGCTCTGATCATCCAAAGGAGAATCAGGTCTATGCCTACCCAAATAAACCCAAACGAGCTCACGTCATATTCAACTGAGGCACCCGCATCATCAAAATGGAACCTCTGGGAGAGAATTTTCCTCTAATGGCCAATTAGTACATTCAAACTCCACACCGCACGTAAGACTAATAAAGGGAAATACTCAAGGTACCGACGGAAACAAGGAATCAGCAGCAACAGCCGATTTTATCTGAGTTGAAACTAAAGGAGGGAGAGTGTGCAGCAAACTCAGCGAAAAACGGAACCTGTCAGCGATAAAAAGGAAAAACCCAGTGACTATAAGATACAAACCTCATAGCAGAACTCCGGCTAGAAACCAATTACTGTCCCGCCTGAGGGAGGGCTGAATAAATGCGGAAGACATGGAACTGACCTAAAACGATTCTTTGCCTGGAGAGTCCAACAAGGAGATGGATCCGGAAGCGATGGCCGTTGGCGATATTCCACCGAAACTGATGAAGGATGGAACACGAGGGAGATCGGATCGGGAAACTTTAGCAGGCGCATATATCTGTATTTCACGATCGGAAAAAGAACAATAAAGTAAGAGGGCAGCACCAGAGTTTTATTTAAAACGACGATAATTGTTAACTTCCCGTCAAAATGAAGTTTGGTTGGCCGGAGAGGACGATCGATCCCTCCCAACCATAATTAACTCGACCAGCAAATTTAATTTTATCGCGTCGGCTAACGAAGAAAAATAAATTTGGAAAAAACACATATTTTCAGTAATGTATCATCACATTTAATTTCAAAGTTGATTTAAAGTCATCGTAGGATTGGATCATAATCAAGGTTGTTAAATCTTTACTGGTCGGACAGTTAAACCCGGTCTGCTCAAAATGAGCTCCAAATCGACTTTTAGAAAGCTAGCAGTTTGTGTTAGAAACCTTTTTCTAGGGTTCCAAACCGAAGTGTTTGCGAGATTGAGAATTGATAGAAATTGGGGATTTATAATAGAATTGGGGTATAGAATAAGAATTTAGGGGTCGTTTGGAAGTTGCGATTGTTAAATAGATGTATTGCTGAGAATGCATGTATAATATTATACATGTATTGTCGAATTTGATGCATTGTAGAATACAACGTTTGGTATGTGTGATTGTGTATGTCGCATTAGCTAAAAGCTGAGACAAAACAATCTCAACTCAACTATCTCAACAATCACAACTAAAAGTTGAGATATTACAATCACTTAAAATGAGTGATAGTTTCTGTCAAATCATAGAAACAATCCATGTATTGTTTCTGCTAAATAAACAAAAAAATAATGCATTATAAACAATACATGCATAATGACAATCTCAACAAAACAATCGCAACTTCCAAACGACCCCTTAGAGATTTGTGATAGGAAGAACACAATTGGGAGTTTGGGATTTAGAAGAGAAAATTGGGGATCGAGGAGAAGAACGGGCAAAGGCCTAGTGATAGGTGACGAATATTGAGAGAAGAGGGATTAGGGTTTTGAGAGATATTTCCTGAATACTTCTTTGATTGATTCTAACATAAGACTCAAAGTACATATTTTATAATAAGATACCCAAAACCCTAAAAGAACCCTAATCCTAATCGGCCCACTAACCAATCATGTTTGCTTCGTATCGATTGAAGATCACATAAATTGCGGTCGAGCTTCGATCAAAACCAATTGAGCCTCTTCCCAAGTGAGAAGTTGCACCTTTTGTCCGTTTTCGTTTTAAGTTTTGTTCAAATTTAACCAATCCATTGGGGTTGGGTTCGAGCTGCGTACTTTGATACAAACAAGCACAAATTGTGCTCGTATTAAGTGGCATCAGAGCCTTGATTGAACACAATGGCCAAGAAGACGAAGGACGTTCGCCTGATTGTTGCGCGAACAAGGAAGAAGGACTCTATTGACCTTCAAAAACCAGAGGAAACGAAGTCGGAGTCCGAATCCGACGAGGAGAATCAGGAAGGTGAAACTTCGATGGCGGGCCAATTTAACACGACTGAGTTCTTACAGACCACCACGACGCATATTGGAACTCTTTTTCAAGCTCAATTCGATAAAATCGAGCGCCAATTGGAGCAACAGGGACCGAGACTTTATGCTCTGTCTTCGACAGTAACACAGGGGAATCCTCGGATTAAGCCAAAGGAGCGCGAGTATGGCGACGCTAATGCTGACAATCGGGATTTAATGGCACGAATTAAGGAGCTGGAGCAACAACTAGTCGTAGGTGATCCTTAGCATGGACGACGTCGACAAGAGCATCGAGGAAGGCCACCTGAAACGGAGTCGACAATTCCTCCGGGAATCAAGCTAGGTGTCCCTCAATTTCAAGGGACTATGAACCTAGCATCGTACTTGGATTGTGAGAGAAAATTTATACTCTTCTTCCAATGCGGGCAATTTATGGAGCAACAAAAGGTCGCAATGGCTACCTACGAATTCTCGGACTGCGCTGCACAATGGTGGGATCAGTTGCAGCTACGTCGCCGACGAAATTTACAAGCTATAGTGGAAACTTGGTCTGAATTACGAGGACTGATGAGGGAGCGATTCATCCCAGGCTATTACCAACGAGAAATCCACGAGTCCTTGCAGGGGATTCGACAAGGATCACGCGGCGTGGAAGAGTATTTTTCGCGAATTGAAATTGCTAATCATGAGGGACGACGTTAGGGGGGATAAGGAGGCCACCGTCGCGCGATTTCTCCAAGGGTTAAATTGCGAAATTCAACACGAAATTGATCTAAGATCATTCGTCGAATTGGAAGAAGCGGTTCACTTGGCGATCAAGATTGAAAAGCAGCATAAGATGTTCACAGGAAGCAGATTCTCGAATTCTAAGCCAGGAACAAAGACGCCAGCCGAGGTGAACAAGCCTGAAATTGTAAAGCCTGCTCCAAGGAATTTGACTCCAGCACAGCCGGAACGAGTTGGGGCCTCCAGTGGAAACATCTAGTGTTTCAAATTTCGTGGTCGAGGCCACAAGGTCAATCAATGTCCTAATCTTAAGACGTTGATACTACGAGATGGAGAGTATGTTTCTGACGACGAAAACAAAGGCCCAATTGTGCATAACGATTCGTCAGAGGAAGAAGTAGATGAAGAGATTGCAGCGGAATTTGGACTTTTCCTTTCATTCTGGGCTTTAACGACGAGATGCCTCGTCAATGGCAAGTGTTAATCGGTGTTGTCGACGGAGGCAGTTGTACAAATGTAATCAGCCTTAACACTACCTGGAAACGATTAAACATCCTGAGCCCTACAACATACATTGGCTCAATGATTACGAAGCAATTAAGGTTACAAGGAGAGCTCAAGTCAAATTTGAAATCGGCCAGTACAAGGACGAGCTCTTGTGCGACGTTGCGCCAATGCAAGTGCCCATCTCTTGCTTGGAAGACCTTGGCAATATGATCGAGCTGTCACACATGATGGTTGCTCCAATTATTCAAAGTCAAGCATGAAAAAAAGTGTGTTTTGATCAAACCATTGTCAATTTCGGAGGTGTGGTCCGACCAGCAGCAAATGGCCTTAATGAGAGCCCAGGAAAGTGGAGAATCCGGAAGCGCGAGGTAGAGAACAGTCCTGGTGCGTGGAGGGTTTATGTTAATTCATAATTGCCCTGCGGAAGCTTACGGTGTCTCGATAAGGAAGCGGACAGCCATGTCGGCAAGTTTGTTCTTGGCCTATGAACGTCCGAGACCTGGCAAATTGGGACAAGGAGCCTTGAACTCGAAACGCCCAATTTGTCGATTTATGGTCAATACTTGCAGGGTGTCGACCAAAACTACCACAAATTGGTTGTGGGGATTGGCGTTGATTCGATGCAAATAGCCACTTGGGTTCGCTTTCTAGAGTCCCAAGGATGGAGTAGAAGCAAGGAAAATGGTTCGAGAACACATGAATTGATTTTCCCAAATTTTGATTTGTGGTCGCCAGATTCTGGGTTCACATTGTCGGATTCTTGAAAATTTGAATTTTTCAACGGCGAGAAAATTACAAACGGCGAATTGGGGACAACCGAGTGGTATCAGGAACTGGAATTGGTTGGAGGAGGATCCTGGATGTGTAGCGAATACGACTCACGAGATCAATTTCTATTAAACAACATTATTCGCAAGATCCCCAAATTGAGGGGCTCGTCGGAGACCGAATTGCTGGTCACAAAGGGTTACTTTTGAGATCATTTTTGGGTTGAATTTGATGGTGTTTTTGGACGCAGGAGTGAACCAGCTTTGAGGGGAAATTTTTTTGAAGAAGGGGGGCCTGATATGATCCCAATTTACCCCTTAAATAAGGATTAATTACTTGTCAAAGAATCCACCCATGTTGGAAGGAGAAAGGGTAGAATTTTGCTAAGTGCTTGATCAGTTTCGTGGTGCCTACTTTGAAGGTTTATATTTTACATTTTGATTGATGGAAATGCAAGAGGAAGGTTGGGATTTGAAGTTCAAGTGATTTTCTATATGAATGTAGTCATTGTTGAGTAGGATCAAGCCATTGAAATCATTTCCCAAAGTCTGGAGCCAGTTCAAGGCATGAATGAGTTCAATACTTGATACCTTAGATCATCAATGTTATAGAGAATTAATATGGTTCATAGAGGTCTTAAATACTTAATATGATATCCTCTCTTGTTTGATTGATTAGTCTAATGGCATGAAGCCAAAGCACGCATTAGATAGTTCTAGTTCTTTTTGTGTGCGGCAAAAGCTCGATTAGGAATGCTTTAGTAGAAGGATATAGTTACATTATAAAAGATGCATTGATGAATGTAATGATTCAGATTGAGATTATGATCATCTAGGATAAACTTTCTTATCAATTGTGTATCTTTTACCTATCTTGTTATTTAGTTTATACTTGCTTTATCTTATAATTCGAAAATCACTAAACATATGGAACCTCAACCCATCGATTTATGTTGAGTCTTTGTTTGAGAATTAGATGATTGGTTATGAGTAACTATTATTAGAAGAATTTGTGAAATATAACTCGAGACATATATAGGAATTTTATCACTTTGATTGCATTACTTTGATGTGAATTAAGTTTTTGGCGTCATTGTTAGGGATTTCTATCAGTATATGAAAGTAACTAATCATCTTATGTCTCTTTATTATCTTTATCTTTAGTTTTTTTTTTGTAGATTTTCGTTTTATGAGTCTAGTGTGTACTAGAAGAGCAACTGACTCGCTTTTACCAACACAACTAAACTACAATAAAGTATAATCGTAATCTAGGAATGCAGTATAGGGTTCATGTTCTAAATGTCAATCCTGGTCTTAGGTCTAATGGTTACTCTATGTAATTCTATTATCTAGCAACGGGATTTGAGTGAAGTTGATTGCAGGTAAAGACGAACAGAAAGCAAGTAAACGTTCTAGTTTCAAATATGAGAAAGGTCACCCAAGTATGTATCCCCTAGTCTGTAGTTAGTTCAAATTGTAATTCCCCAAATTCATTTCAATTTATAGATATACTGCGGAAGCTTCTTGACAAGTCTGGAATCTCGACTAAAGAATTCCATACCCTCTCAATTTAAATACCCAGTGGGCGATTAACCTCCACCAGATTAAGCTAACCAAGGCACTAACACACAAAACTTTCTCTACTGGTTTTCAATCCCAGTAGAGAGCAGTGGATAGACTTCTCGACTAAAGTAGTTGATTCACTACTTCCAATTAAGGTTCCTCTTTTAACTTATGCAGAGACTATTGTTCTAGGTTAAAGCATGAATTACATGAATTTGATCAAGACTCATGCAATTCTGAATAATGCCTCAATTGAATATATGAAAGTTAATTATCCACGAAAATGGGTTCATACAATCATTCCTAACATACACGACTAGGGTTCTTCATACCTAGATGAGAAGCGAGTTTACTCCATGGAGAGTAGAGAAAACACAAAGCTTGAAGTGGAAACTTCATGTGAAGGATGAAATTCTGTTCCAACTAGGAATTAGCACTCGGAGGGTGAAAGATTGAGCTCCAATGACGTTAAATCTCTTCCAAAGGCTGTTCTTCATCACTTTTCTCTCTATGCTCTCTCTTGTTGTCTTAGAACTTAGAAAACCGGATACTCGACAAAAATTCTGAGTTTCAGCTTAGTAAGCGCGATGGTGAATTCCCCGGTCGTGTTCCATGGTCATTGAATTGAGTTCCAGACCTTGGAACTTCATAACGGCGGGTGGAAGTTAATTGAGCATGGATGAGTTCCACGTTCAATCGCCTTCAATCCTCGATCGTGGAATGCAAACACCAAACAGGGAATTTCTCCTGCTCAAAAAGCACAACTGAACTCCTAATCCACGATCGTGGAATTGACTACCCAGACCGTGAATTTCTTCTTTGAATCCCCCAATCATGTTTGCTCTCCAGTTACACCGAAACTTGCTCCTAAGCCTTCATTCCCTTATTAGAACCTAAAATATCACAAACAAGCATTAACTAGCATAAAATGGCCCACATAGCAATCATACGCCAAGCCAAACAATCAAGAAATGCCGGAAAATAATGTGAAATATGGTGTTATCAAATTCCCACACACTTAATCGTTTGCATATCCCTAAGCAAACCTGACTCAAACCAATGTAACTCTCCAAACCTTCATAGCAACATGCAACTTCGATCGTCGGTAGAGGACTTCCTGGTCATTTAGCAGCTTACGAGATCAACCACTTTTCTAAGACATCCCTTATCTCTCTCAATGCGAGCTCTAGGCTCAAGCCATGATCATGCCAAGTAATGGACTTAGGACAAATAATTAATGGATGAAGAGACTCTCATAACACACACAACCATGGACTCTTCGTATCATATGCTCTTTTCCGTTCATTTCATCTATTGGAAACACTTTTTCATACTATTTTGTTTCCTTTTTCATTCATTTCATCATTTTTTCAGGGTTCCAAACTCTAGTTTTCAAGGTCAATCCTTATTGGTTGAGTAAGAGCAATTTCTATACATCTGCCGCTCGTCAGAGTACTTCTTTTAACTTCTTTTTCTCAATTCGTGTGGAGGGTCAATGAAATTAAGGGTGGTCGGGAGCTCTATCCGTGCCCTTAAAAACACATCCTCAAGTAGGAGATCCGTTCTACGGGTGGAACGTTTACTTTTACTAGAGAGGAACTAACATCACCTTGTAGGACTACCCACTAAGGGTCAACTAGTATCTCTTTCAAAATCTGATTTTGTGCAATGAACGGTGTCACACACGTTTGGTTTACCCCATGCTTCAAATTTGGACATGGAGGACCAATTGGTTCTTATTAAGCACAATTAGAGAACCCAATCATGATGTGTGGGTCCGAAACATAGCAATAATCATCGATACCGCATGAATCCAATGTCCTAAAGCCACTAGTTCATAATACACAACAACTTCATGTGTGTTAAAACATTATCATGATGTACAAATTAAATTATCTTAAAAAATTGCTTTTTAACTGGCTCACATCTAATTCTTTTGATGATATGAAATTTGTTGGGGTTAATTGCATGGTTGGTCACTGAGATTACAAAAGACGTTCAAGTTTGGTCACTCAAAATATTTAAATTCATTGGTGGTACTTCAGTTTACTGAAATCGTTCACGTTTGGTCACTCTCCGTCCAACTCCGTTAACTTTAGCTGATATGGCAATCAACTCTCAAAGTTGACCGTTAACTTAGTGACGTGGCAATTAAGAAATAATAAATAAAATAAATTTAATCTATTTTAATGTCAAATTCATTTTTATCATAAAATAAATAAATAAATAATTATTATAATTATCAAATTGAAAGGGGCACTCCGAAACCTCACCATCTCCTGCGACTTGCCGTCGGCGACAACCATGGAGGAGCTCGTGCTCACGATCGCCGACGAGTTCTGACGCTCAGGACGCGTAATCTCCGGAACGCGTGTTGCACGTCGATTCAACAGTTGGGTACCTGAGTTTGGAAGCTACGGCGCCGCTGGCGACGGAGCGACGTGGATTGAATTGAGCAGTTTGGTAGAGAAGAGCACAATGAAGATAACCCATCGTCCGAAGCTGTACACGTCCAATTCCTTGCTTGCCCTCCCCGTGGTGACGCACTCCGGAGCCAAATACCCCATCATCCCGACCAGGACCATCGTCAGCTCGACTGCCACGAATTCGGGCAGGACTTCGCGCAGTTCCACGATGTACGAAAGGCTGGAGCCGCTGTCGTAGACGGGGTTTTCAGTGTAGGTGAGGTAGACGCTCAGGTTCTTGGTGGTGGAATTGTAATTCACCCAGGCGTTGGCCATCCTGCCGTCCTTGATGCTGCTATTCCATTGCTTGGAATCGACGGACCGAATCGAATTGATGTCGATCTCGATGTGATCGTCGCTCGGGTCCCAGGAGTTCCAATTGCTGTCGAACTCGACCACCACGATCTGGTGGTCCTTGGTGGCGTTGAGGGCGGTGTCAGGGCCGAACAGGGCGAGGTACCCGTGGGTGGAGTTGGCCGGGATCTCGGAGCCTTCCAGAGCGAGGAAGAAGGTCATTCCGTCCCCGTAGCGTTTGGTCAGGTTGGTGGCTTTCATAGTGAATGTGAAGTGCGTTGTGAAGTCCGTCAGTTCCGCTGTTCTGGAATCCCATAGTGGGATGACCTGGCGGAAGATACCTCATCGCTGTGCTCTTCTCTACCCAACTGCTCAATTCAATTCTCGCCGTCGGCGACGGCGCTGTAGCTTCCAAACCCAGGTACCCAACTGCTGAATCGACCTGCAGCACGCGTTCCGGAGATTTCGCATCCGAGCGTCAGAACTCGTCGGCGAACGTGAGCAGAAGCTCCACCATGGTTGTCGCCGGCGGCAAGCAGCAAGAGATGGTGAGGTTTCGGAGCGTCCCTTTCAATTTGATAATTATAATAACATTTTATTTTATTTGTTTATTTTATGGTAAAAATGAGTTGGACATTAAAATATATTTTATTTATTATTCCTTAATTGCCACGTCACTAAGTTAACGGTCAATTTTAAGAGTTGACTGCTACATCAAACAAAGTTAACGGAGTTGGACGAAGAGTGACCAAACGTGAATGATTTCAGTAAACTGAAGTACCACCAATGGATTTAAATATTTCGAGTGACCAAACTTGAGCGTTTTTTATAATCTCAATGATCAACCATGCAATTAATCCAAAATTGTTACAAATTCTAATTTGTGTTGTGCAAAATTACGCATTTGTGACTGTATTGTACAAATCCAAACATTCGGGACCGTTTATGCTAATCACCCAATACCTACCTCTCGCGGAGCGACCTCGGTTCGGTTCAGATGCGCAGCGCGGTACCGCGCTTCTTGTTCTTCTTCGTCTCCTTTCCTCCCTCAACAAGATACAGCCCAACCACTAAATCGCGCCTTACAAAATCGTTGTCGTCGTGGTCGACATCGGGAGCTTTTACTCCGAAAACCATCCTGTTCGATTACGTTTGCAGATCGAACGGTGGGAGCGGATTTCGTAAGTTTTTGTACAGTCCTAGAGCCCGTCATGGCCACAGGCGTGGGAGTTTGAAACTGGTGTTCTGGTTCCCTCAATGGCATAACTGTATCTGTTTGTGCATATTATTTACAGGAGAAGGATTTAGAACATTGTGAAGCAGAGCGCCTTTGCAAGGCGTGGTTTCGCCTGACCGGATTTTTTGCTTTTCCAGAAAAAAATGGATCCCGGCCGCTATAATCTCCAGCAAGGATGGGAAAATAACAGCGTAATTGTGGTTTTATCCTTATCGCATATATCGGGATGATATTACCAGAAATTCTTAGGCTTCATGTGATTGATTGTCCTCTTCATCTTGGGGGCATCCCATCGTTATAGGGGGGAAAATATATAATGGGAAGCTAAGCTGTTGGGGGCAGTGAAGATATGGAATGGATTTCCCTAACCCTCCCGTCATGATTCATACTTGTTGCTGATGTAGCTTATTGTCTTGAATCCACAGGCTCTGGACGGGCATGGTGCTGCTCATGGATCGGATTACCGGTGAGTGCAGAATATTAGGGCTAGATTTGTAGGTGCTCTCCTGACACTTGTCACCGGCTCCATTTGCTTTATAAGTTGTTTTCTGGGTTACAGATGTTTGCTATTGTTCTTGGTTGTTGGGTATTGAATGCCCTTTTATGTTAGGTTCTGTTTCTTCTCTTCCCCAAAATTTATTCTACTTTGACAGGGTCAGTGGTGAATATGATGAGAGGAGATTTCCTGATGACCGATACTCGAGGGACTATCCTAGAAGCGCATTCCGCAGAGATGAGAATTACCAAAACCCAAGTAATGCTGGGGTTTGGACTCAATCGAGGCAAAGCTATGAAGATGAATATTCACATGAGAAGGAGTCTAAAAGACGAGAAAAAACCTCGTACATGGATTCATACAGTGAGATGGATGGTTATTGCGAAAGTGGGATTGATTCGTATCATGATCTTGATAGGTTTCAGGATGATTATCACAGTATTGAAGACTACCGTGATCATGGATATAGTAGGCCTGCTAGGTTTAGGGGACGTGATAGGGATGACTACGCATATGATGATTATGATTACAGGTCACACGTTTCTCGTCATTCTAGGGAGGACAGTCGAGAAAGGGATTATGATTATGGTCGGCATAGCCATGATTCAGACTATGACAAAGGCAGCAGGAGAGATGGCAGTTGGCGGAGGGGTGGGTCCTGGGAGCGTGAGCGTGATAGGAGAGGTTCGAGCCATGATAGAGATCAAAGTCCACGAAGGCTGCACGAACGTTCTCGATCGCGGGGACATGATGATCGTACTAGATCCAGATCACCTCGGGGACGGAGCTATAGCCGAAGTCGACGAGAGGATAGCTATGAGGATGGCCAGTATGACAGGTCTGAGAGGTGGAGGGATCGTGACGAGAGACGTCATAGAGTGAACTATGCTGTGGTATGCATATCATTAATTTGTCCTATTTGCGGCAATTTTATTTTTTCTAGGGATGTCAGTAAACTTGGCTGTTCTGTAGGCTCCATCAGCAACTGTTGTTGTGAAAGGTCTATCCCAGAAGACTTCTGAGGAAGATCTGTATCAGATGCTTGTAAGATGTTCACTCAGTTTTCCTCTGCTACTGTCTGTATCCATCAGTTTTCATTTTTCCGGGCTTGTTTTGTTTTTTATACAAATTCCATCTTTATCAGGCTGAATGGGGTCCCCTTCGCCATGTTCGTGTGATTAAAGAGCGGAATTCTGGAATCTCTCGTGGTTTTGCTTTTATCGACTTCTCTTCTGTGGTATGATTTACCTTCAGCCTATCAGTTGCTAATCTTCGACTTTATTAAATAGAGTCACTGGTTTAGTCTTTACTCTTAAAACAGGATGCAGCACGAGGAATGATGGAGAAAATTGGGGATGAGGGTCTTGCAGTGGATGGCAGAAAGCTTTTCTTTGAGTACAGGTACTTTTTTTTGACTAGTTAATTAGTTTTTGGTTATTCAGATTGTGAACTTCCCGCTCCTTCAACTCTGGCCCACGATTTTACTGTTAATTCTAACAGTTTGACTTTCTGTCGTAATGTGGACTCTATATTAGTAGCTCTTTAGGGCGATGACTGTATTATTATGTATTATGTATTTTGTTGATCATGTTATTATTATTCTCTCTTTGAACTCTGTTTCCTTTCAGTAGTAAGCCAACTGGAGCAGCAGGTGGATCTTATGGTCAAGAAAATGGGACAAGATCAGGTCAAAGCAATCAGAGAAGCATCACAGTGCCATCCGATTGGATGTGCGTTATTTGTGAATGTGTCAACTTTGCGCGGCGAATATCATGTTTCCAGGTTTGTGTCTCCTCTGCGTATTCTCTATTCTACATGTAAATTACATAGTAACAAAACTACCTCGTATATATATGTTTATTAAAACTAAGGATTGAGAATTGAGTGAAGTCTCAATGATAAACGTATCCTTAAATCTGAAATCTGCAGCACTGGCTCCCTGATGTTTGTGGGGCAATTACAAATTTACATCTTTTAACAAACAGATTTAATGTGAATAGCTTTTGTTGCAGGCCTGAAAAGGCATATAAGAAGTTTATCCTACTACTTAAGGCATAAAGAAGGAAGGTTATGAGAGAAAATTAAGAACTGGATAGATAGATAAATTTAAATTACCAAGTCCGGAGATAATGTAAAGCCTCGATTTTGTCGATAGCACACTAATCCTGAGTATCCCACTTGGTTTGATCATGGGCAAATCATAAAAGCCTTAACCCTGTATCAATCATTGAACTATAAAGCATTGATGAGTGTTTCCTAGACTGTGAATTGGTGAATCAACATAGCCTGGCCAAATGAGCTATGCAGATGCGGTATACAGACTTACATAGTCGAGCATATGTATGACGAGAATGTCTCATAGCAATACGTGAAACCTTGTTGATTGTACTTGTTCGGTTTTTGGGAGGGTATGTATGTACTTATATTTGTGCTAGCATCTTCCTATGTGGAAAGAACTTTACCTGATCTCTATTGCAAGTTGGATATCTGTTTTCGATCATTTTCCATGATATATTTATTTACTTTGTTACTGAAGATGTTAATATACCAACGCATGACCTAATTGTTGGTACAGTGTAACGAGCCTCGGAGAGATGATGCTCCACCAGCAGATATGGCTCTATCCAATACGGCTTCCTTAGGAAGGAAAGGCTTGGAGGCAGGTTGTGTCTACTATTCCTTTATGCTATTTTGCTTGTGGGCATTATATACTCTGTAGTTTGCTAAGTTAGTTGATAATAGGTCCCACTCATGTCCTGGTTGTTCGTGGGCTGGACGAAAATGCCGACGAGGAGTTGCTTCGATATGAATTCTCCAAGCATGCTCCTATTAAGGTATGTAAACCATTGAATTGCTTTTTCTTATGTCCTTTTGTATTTTTTATTGTTCTTTATTGAAATTATATCTTGTTTCTGTGCAGGATCTTCGTCTTGTCAGAGATAAATTTACTCATGTTTCAAGGGGATTTGCGTTTGTTCACTTCCATTCTGTATGTTCTCATAATCAACAATTTATTGCTTCTGAATTTCATTATCTTTCTTTCACTCATACATGAAGTTTAGTGTGTGAATATGAGTTTTGAAAATTAAAAATGGGGAAGATAAAAAGGGAGAGAGCATGTGCTATGAAACAAGAATAAGGTTGGGTGCTTCACCAAGTCCTGTTATTGTTCCTGCTGTTGAGTGTATGTCATATCATGGGATGAATGAATATGCTTTTATTTACTGTTTTGGCTTTGATTTGGTGATCTAGTTTGCTAGGGGACTTTTAACCGATCAGTTGTTATAACGACTTTCCTTGGTACAAATCTTACTGTTAATTAGATAGTCTCTATCGATCGAGAGACAAAGCCAGTTGCATACCTGTTCTTTGTCTAGGTGGGATGAGAAGCATGTATTGACAAGAAGAGTTTGTTGTTGGCTAGAATCTCAATAGCGATCAAGTAGCAGGAGGAGAATGAGTGGACACTCTGCATGGACAATAGAATCTGGGCTAGTTATTGTTCAAGATTGTAATAAGAACAAAATA